AGTCTGATCCCCAAATACCAGCAAGATAAAAAATTAAAACCTTTTTAAAAAATAAAGGAACACGGAGGAAACTGATCCAGGCAACACTGAACAGATGCTGACCTCAGCTAAGTGCCTCCATAACGATGGCTTTTGACTGGTATTTGGAACCACCAGTAGAATTTGTTGGACATGAGGACTGTCAGAAATATCAGCTCATTTTTATGTTTTGTTTGCTTTTCCTTAGAGGTCAGAAGGTTTCGTGCTCTAACTTTCAAAAGCCAGAGAAAATCTATTAAAACCCGAGAACGCAGCTCTCACAACTGTAAGTACCCTCCAATATGTTAGCTATTAGTTATGAGCTCTGCTTCTATATCTACTGTCACCTGGAGAGATTAGAGGCTATAGAACATAGGAATTTTCACAGCTACACAAATGGAACTAGAAGTATCTGATCCTGGCACCTAATTTAAACAGGATTTGCAAAGACACTTCCAAATTGAAACGCAGAGCCTTTGAAGCTGAGCCATTCATTAGTCACTTCAGGTAGGCTGGCACTGCTGTCTCACCACTGCCTGGCACATAAAACCAGCCCGTACTGAGCTCTGTTCTGCCAGCTACAGGCTTCTGTTTGGCTGTTCTCTAGAGCTTTGCTCATTTGTTCTCTGCCCCCATCACAGTACACTCAAATTCACTTCAATATACCCTCAGTGAGTGTTCTGCTTTGTAGCAGATACTTGAAAACCTTTTTTTTTTTTTTAAGACACTGCCTGCAGAACACACTCAGTTCTTCTCTGAAGTGACAGTTATGATCTCAAGGAAAAAAAGAAGGGGGTGGGGGGGGGTATTCAGCCTGATGTGTGTTGTGTAGTTCTCATGGCTCTGTGTCTACACAGAGCACTTCCCAAGGAGGAAGGAGGTTTTCTGGTGTCTTTTTGAATCAGGCAAACAAAGGATTTCCACTTCATGATCACCAGACATTCTTCTGTGAAGTAAACAGGAATGGATAAAGATCCTACATTCCTTGAAGTATACAGAATAAAAACCACCGTGAGATTGTAAAGTTTTATAAACTAAAAAGCTTTTGAAAATCACCATCAAGGAGCCAAAAAGTCTAGCCTCCCCTTTGAGTATTGCTCCCAGCCTCAACGAGACGCATTCTTTCAATAAAATTTCTCCCAACATTTACCTAACTACACTTGCCAGCGTGCTTTGCCAAATTAGAAAAACTGCTGCAGAAACCATCTGCTTGACATTGCTTCCCTCCACTAACGTATCGCTCCATACAGTGTGTTGGAAATGTTTGGAGACCTTTGCATGGGAACCGAAAGCAGCAGTGCTGACTCAGGCAGGTCTCCTGCTGATGTCAGTGGGAACTGCACCTGAATGGCTCCTGCTGGACCTGATACAGCGCTGGCCCTGCGGCGAGTGCCCCTGACTGACGTGGGAACAGATGGTTACAGTTTAACAACACCGCCTGTAACGGAGATGAGGAGGAAGCTTCACAGCATTTCTGGCTTGCTGCTCTTTTATCAGAAACATACGAATGATTCCTACGTGTCTGCTACTGTAACAGTTTTTCCCAGCTTCAAGTGAACACTGAGAAACTCCAAGTTAGATCCTACCTCAACAGGAACAGTTGGAGTCAATCTGTTGAGATAAAAACTTGCAACACCAGAAAGACTACACGTGAAGTCTAAAATAAGACTTCACAATTTCTCTGCAGATTGCATTACATCCCCTCTGGGTAAGAATGCAGACATTTCAGTGCATTTCCCTTAGTCCAATCTCAAGCAGAAATAAAACCCTCACAGCGCTGACTTTGTCAGCCTACTAGCAGGGCCTTGTGTGTAACAGCTGCTATACCAAAGGACAACAGTTTCTCAAATTTGACCCCAAATTTAGGTGTTGTAAAGTTACAGCTTTAATAAGTCTAAAAGCTAAGAGTGTCAGTGAGGTTCTAGCACTTGGGAACCGTGGTCACAAAAGCAGCACCTCTATGTAGATAAATCAAGCCCCTTCCCTCACAAAAGCTGCAGAAGGATGAAGAGCAGCAACACTGAGAAAATAAAGAGAAGCTACAACGTGTGTATCTGCACGTCTTAACCACAGTTTTAACAGAAGGGATTTTGCACCTTCAGGACTTCCTAGGAAGGGGCCGTATTAGAGATTCAAATCCCAACGAGTAGGTGAAACACTTCCTATTGCTACCCACTTATTAGCACGCACCCCCCACCAAGGTGGTGATGTGGTCACAGCTCCAAGGCAAGTGCCCCTTGCTTCCCTTTAAACACTACAATCAAGACTCATGTGTTTTGCTTTAAGGAGTTTCTGTCAGCCTTAGTTTCCCAGCCATGGGAACCCTTCCAGACTGTGCCTACAAAAGCTACACTGCTTTTGCTCAGGCATGGGAACACAAAAGCTGAAACCCACACATCTATGGTCTATGTTTCTTTGCGTGATGAAAGTCAAAAGGTTGGCATCTTGCTGCAGATGACCTCCAGGATAGAAACTCTGAGAAGTTTAAACTGCATTGGTTGAAGAATGATCAAAAATTCGTGTTTGACCTGTTCTGGACAAAAGCCAAAGCACTTTAGGAACACTGAAGTATCATTAATATTCTCCATGGTACTTCCTCCTTACAGGACTTATGTGGACCAAGAAAACAGTATCAAAAAGAATTTATCCCCTGAAAAAAGGTCCCTAATCCCACATGATGAGGTGTATCTACCATCCACAGCATCACAATATACAATTAGGGAACAGTGAAAGAATGCAACCATCATTCCTGTATAAACCAGGGCTCCTGGAAGACAGCTACGTGTTAGAAAAACACGTTTGAAAGTTGAAGAAATGATGTTTGATTTAGAGGAATCATCAGAGAAGTGGCACCAACAGAAATTCCAATCCAACTGTAAAATAACTAGGTTAATTAACACACAAACACACCATTAATTTCTCTCATGATATCAGTTCCCCCTTTACTGTCACATTAAAAAGCTGTCAGCCTGGGTGAAGTGAAAGAACAGAGAATACTTCACAGTTGTGTCACTGCAGTTTCTCAAAGGAACATGAAGCCCAGTTACACACAGCAAATGCTAATTTTAGGAAATGCTTACCTAAAATGGACTTCAGTGGTGGGAAAAAAAGGTCTGCCAGGACTACTACAACATTCCTGAAGAGCCACTTACCTTGCTAATGAAAGATCACTTGACACAGCTATATTCCTACTGAGTTACTGTACCTTTGCATCTCCTTCTTCCTACACACCTATTGAGATAAAAGATTTAAACAAAGCAAGTGGGAAAAGTACAAAATACAGATCACAGCTGCAGTTTCTGCCCCTTTGCAGAGAAGCAAATACGTATTACTTAGTTTTTGACACCCCTGTGTTACCTTGCCCTTGTTGCTTACAGTCTTGCTGGTGGTGTTGTATCTTGTTCATCTCACATTTCTCTTTTCTGACTGAAAGTGTAACTGTTCTTTTGGTGAGTGACAGGAGCACAACCATCACTGCCTGGATCATCAGCACACAGCCCTCGACCATCAACCTACCTCAACAGCACCGGGTCTCAAAGTGCAACTCTGCACAGAACTCTGAGGTTTTGTTTAGACGAATCTGGCCAGAATTGTGCTGAAAGCAAGAGCAGAGCTAAGTTCAGAGTGGGTGGGATACGCCAGGAAGAGGACGTGACACTGGCTGCAGTGTCTCATACATGAACCCAGCGCAGCGACTCCAAAGAAGTGCTGAACAGAAACATTGGCAAAGCTGCAGAAGGAACTGAACTTCACCTCTGCACACAGTGCTATGTTAGTTAACACTTCATCAAGGGAGACATGAGTTTTGTTTTGGACAGTAGACTTTATTAGAAATTTTCTCCTCATTCATCAGTAAATTCACATTAAAATATGCTGAAGGCAGCTCAGTCTAAACATTTGACGTCCTGCCATAACAACAACTTCCAGTTTAAAAACTAGATAACTGATCAGGCAGATAACTTGAAACATGTAAGAAATGCAAATAGAAAGCAGCATCTTAAAAAAATGGGATGAGCCTGAAAAATGAATACATTTCAGGTGGAGTTGGGGAAAAAAACCAAAATCAGTCACCCCAAGATGGGAAACAGGTAAATGAGAACTCCACAGACTCTAAACAGATAAATAAACATTATAACCACACATACATTAAAAAGAACCAAGTACTTAGAGTTCATACCACATAAAAATTATAAATTTGTTCAAATAAAAAAGTGACAAGCTTTCTAAAATACAAATATCCTAAATTCTTGGGATAGTGAATACTTTGTTATAAACCGCAGGACTTTGGTGGGACTAGATTTGGTCTTGAAAACAACAGACTGCATCTTTCTGTTACCAGGTCCAAAAACTGACCCTTCTGACACACAGACTGTTTTTTTTTTTTCTCTTATGTTTTTAAATCACATACTCTCCTTCTAGCCAACAATCTGCTTTTTTAAATGTTAGAACTTCCAGATATTATAAGGCTTGATTACGGTGAGTGCTGAGCGCTCAAAGATCTCAACAACTCTGGATACCAAAGGCAAGGTTTAAATATTTTTGAAAAGTTCCAGTCAATATTTTTCCTTTACTAATTTATCTATTGGGGTGAGGTGTAGGAGAGAGAAAGAAAAAAAAAACAAAAATCACATTCCTGAAGAATGTTCAGTCCTGCATGACAGTGGATCCTGCAGGTCAGATTTTCTGTTGGCATTTCCCAGAGGCAACAAAGATAAACCAATATGTGAGAGATGAGAATAATGGCCTTCAGGACTGTAAACACAACAGGCAACAGATAATACACAAATCTTGATCCAATCAAAGTTTTCACATTCTTTAGTAGTCCCCCACAGTGATCTGCTTTCACTGGTTCAGAAAAAAAAATATATTAAAAATTAAATAACACTTAAGTGTCCATCACGAAGATTTATATTTTGCTGTAAACAATTTTCTGCCATTTGCATTGATGTAGTCCAATGTGAGGCCAGAGGGTTCTAGACGTTCTATTGGTACTGCAGGTAATTTTTCAGAGACAGAGGCAAAGGTAGAATTTCGATGTCATGCAGGCGCTCTCTGCCCAGAGCAAATCGAATCGATCTCCGGCACAAGTCCATTAAAGGCAGGGGCTCCGCTGAAAAAACAGGAGGAGGAAAAGAGTTAATTTTTCAGCATCTCCATTTACAGCAATGATTTATAGATTCTGTATTATATTAAACTGTCACAAAGACATTAATGATATTGTGAAAAACCTGACAACCACGACGCAATTAAGAAAATCAATAGAAGCAAAGACAGAATTCTCGCTTCACCCGTAATAAGTGACTGCAAAATTTTAGACTGAGCTCTCTTATCTGTAAGGCTTAAAATAATAATCCAAAACCACTCTTTGGGCTTACCAACTTGCAGCATAAGAAGTTATTACATTTACAGATTTCTAACAAGACAAAAGAGCTTCTGCTCCGTTTGTAACACAACATTCGTCACGTCGTGTCAATGTGAACTACACCAGGAACTTCTGACCTCCACATACCAGTTCCTTCTGCGCCTTATGAACTGGGAACCAAGCTTCTCAGCAGACACTGCTTCTCCTGCAACACTCTCTTAGCCCTTCTTTCTAGGAAGTTCATTGGAAGCAAAAAGCCTAAACAAAACACCCTCAAAAATCTAGAGGAAATGTAAGCTTCTCCTGCATGAATAAATCAGGGGAAGAGGACTCAGCTAACTACAAGGCGAGGGGTTGTTCTCAACCATACATACAAAAAAATACCCCCAAAATATACAAGCACCACCTGTAGATGCTCTTAGTTTAATTTAATAGAAGAAAATAGAAGTGTCTGTCAGAAATGCCTGGATGATGGCACTTAAGATTGGAGACCCAGACTCAGTGATTGGCAGCATCTCCAACCATCTCACCCCTATTTCCCATCCTGTTCTGCAAGACTCACACAGAATTGCAGGAACATCATAGAACTTCCATTCAATAGTACCATGAACAGCCTCTGTGATTGCTGTTGGCAATGGAAATCTTTTTGTAGCAGGAACTGGTATAAAGCCATAAAGTCTTTCACCATTTACAGCTATCTCCAAGAACAACTGTAACCAGGTGGAGCTGGTTGCACATGTTGGTTTAAAAGGGTAAGAGCTTAAAAGACTACAGAAGATTCTTCCTCTTTACATGATAAAACAGCAGCAGCCTTTAAGACCTTACTGGTACTTTCAAACTGAGAAAAAAAAGTCACATGCCTTTATTCTAGTGACAACCTTTCCTGAACTGGACAGATTACTTTTAAGTGCCCTCAGCATTGTACAGCACTCCGTGGTTTCATCAAGAGTTCCTTTAAGTGCCACATGTAGACTTACGCAATGTTAATCTACCAATCCTTTAGCTGATACTATTTTAAAACCTACTTGGAAAAAAAAAAAAATCATTGCAAAGCACAAAATACTCGATTTAAGGATTGGTTTTATGTGTTGTAATTGTCACTCTGGTGTCACACCACTGCCTTAATGGATTTTCTATCTTTTATCCCAGCACCACATTTGGTTTGTACAGTCCATAGGTCACTATAGTGTTTCCCAAAAGCATCTAGGGAGAAAGCTCAGAAAGCACTCTGTTGTGCTCCAGAAGACTAAAAATGTTATTTAGTTAAAAAGTTTATATAACCACTACAGTGACTTCTTAAAAAACCACTTCAGTTTTGGCTCTTCAAAGATTAAAAACCAAGAGCCCTCACATTCCAGTAATACAGTAACATTTTCTACACATCGGTGATCTTGGTTTTTATTTTTACACACCAGAACTACAAACCTTAATTATAAGGGATGAAGCTGTAAAATTCATTAATCAGGATTAATAAGGAAGAGAAAAAATAGCTCATGAGTTCCAGAAGGCAGAACACATCTTACAAGCCTTACACCATAAACAACACTTCTGAGTATCTGCCCAGAATCTCTGAGGTCCCATTAAGAAGATATAAAAGAAGGACTAGGAGTGTTTAAAAGCCATTCATTGTGGTCTCTGTTTTTTTTCCCCAGACAAAGGAATATGTAAAATGTATCCTTCTGTGCAGCCAGGCGTAGAGTTAATCCTCAACTTCAAAACACAATTTAAAGAAAGGTTAAAATATTTTTCAAGCTTGAAATGCTAAATGAATGTCTCCCGTCTCACTTCTACAGGGAATTTTTAAATGCTGAAGAAAAAGCTCCCAAATGTCTGCAACAGCTGCTACATTACAGTGAATGTGGTTTTTCAACTTGAAAACTTAACTATACATTTTTATTCTCCTTTCTATCCAACAGTTCAAAGGTACAACAAAATTGGAACAAGTTTGTCCTACAATACGAAATAAAAGTTATGTTTTCTGGGCTGCTGGCTGTAAGAACTTGGGGGAAAAAAGATATAATAGTAGCATTTTCAGTAAAAAAAAAATTTGCATCTGTCAATAGTTACTCCTAAATGAGCAAAAATTATATTCAGGAAAAGAAATAATTTTTGTTTTCAAAATAGTTTATGGGATAAACGTAGAACTGCTTAAAATTGAAGGCAGACAATTTTGGGGCAGCCTGACCAGAACTGTTAGCAAACTTTTGGTGTGTACACTTCCCACCTCTGGCATCTGGTGCATCAGCAGCACCATGCCCTGGAGCTGAGAAGCATGGAATCATTTTGGTTGGAAGAGACCTTTAGGGTGATCGAGTCCAACCATTCCCCTGGCACTGCCAGGCCACCACTAAAGCATGTTCCTCAGCACCACATCTCCAGGGCTTTGGGAGCCCTCCAGGGCTGGGGACTCCACCACTGCCCTGGGCAGCCTGGGTAAGTAGCTCATCGTTTTGGAAAGGAAAAATTCAACTACCCAAGTACGTATGGCTACACACCTTGCCTAAAACACACACACAGAGACCTGATGTATCCAGAACACTGAAGAGCACAGTCACATGTTCAAAACAGCGTATCCAAAATGCTATTTACATTTGAGATCATCCAACTAATGCTCAGAAGAGAATATTCTAATAATTCTGAGAAGAAAATATTCTAATAACACAAGATATGGGAGGATGAATATTCTGAAGCCACATGGTTACCTGTAAGGTTGGTTGGTCAAACAGCCTTTTTTCCACAACATTAAATATTTCCCTTTGAAAAACTTTTAAATTTAGGGATATTAACTGACTGTCAGAACATCTTGCTCCTTAGCATACCTAAGATGCATTTTAAGTGCTGTATTTTTAGAATACACGACTGGAATTGGGGCACTCAAGCCCCCCAGAAGAACATGAACCAGCCAGTCTGCTGAAGTTATGTCAACTCTGGTAACGTTCCTGCCATTAGAAAAAGAAGGAATG